AATACATTGGATGATGATGATATTGATATGCAATCAGTTGCTTCATCGGATACAGGTGATAAAATGGACGATGATTAAACGCCAAAAAAAAGAAAAAAGAACATTTATAAAATGATCTTTCTAAATTTCTAAATTTCTTTCACATTTATTTGTTAATATTAGTCTATTGTATTTTTCAGATATAATATATCTTTTTTATTTCTCATTCAAAAAACATATCTGTGATAAACAAATATGGCATCTGCACCAACAACAGAAAGTCCTATTCATCCAAATACTAGTACACAATCTGATATTCAAGAAACTAATCATACACGAACATTTGATTTAAGAGTAGTACGAGATGCTTTTGCTAATTGTATTCAGCCAGATAATACATTGTTACTTCATGAATATGTTCGAGCTTATGATGAATTATGCGTGTAAGACTTTATGATAGAGAAAAAGCAAGATTTTATTTATTTATTTATTTTTAGTTTTGTTGCTTCACTTGGAGCTGTTTTTGAATGGGCAATTAAAGATTTAACTAATAAATTAGTTATCCTTAGAGAACATCAACGTCTTGATCCAGTTAATTATCAATCTATACAATCAATGGTTGATTATGAAGTTAAATCAGAACGTGTTAAATCGAAAGATACAACACTTCTTCTTGCATCAGGAAAACCATTACCAAATGGTTGTCGAACATTATTGAGATTACATCGAGCACTTGCTTTTATTGCATCGTTTTTAAGTCAAATGCGTTTGGCAGCAGATGATGAAAGTTCAGCAGCAATTGCTTGGAATGCTTATTCAGCAACACTTGGACATTTTCACTCGTGGCCTGTCAGACATACGTATGCATGATTTAATTTTCTTCATTTAAAATTAAATGCTTTCTAAACAAAATCTTAATGCATAAACATATTGCTTTTTTCTAGAATACATGCTGCTATTAAATTGACTGTTCCTGATCGTCGTACATTGATTGATAAATTACTCAATAAACGAAATCCTGATGAAATCGAAGAATTATCTGTTGATATTGTAAAATCTTGCAATAAAATTGAAAGTACAACGCAGGAACTATTTGAAATGCATCATTTGACCAAATTGCCTTAATTTATAATTCTGTTTATTCCATTTCTATGATCTGTTAATCTTAATCATGAACAACTTGTGAATGTAAACATTTTATCTTTTGTTTTCCTTTTTGCTTTTTTTATTCAATTCCATTTTACTGATAATTTAGAGAAATTTACAATTATGAACAGTGGTTGTTTATGTTTACTATTAAACGATTTACTATATTATGCACAAAAAGAATTCAGTATTCAAGCAATGAACAAGATTATTTCTTTTTTGTTTTGCTTCTTTTTTTTTTGTCTTGCTCATTTTGTTTTCTATTCCGATTGTATTTAATGAACAAGAATAAAGTTAATCTAGATGTTCTCAATATAATACAGAAATTATTTTTAAAGGGTGTGAGAGTTGCTGTAAATTATAGATGAAAAAGACTCTTCTAGTACTAATGAAATTATAAGTGATCGTGCTATGAAGCTGTATATTTTCGCACTATTTTATCTTAATTTGAAAATGAATGAAGCAGGATATAAAAAATGTTCGTCGATAGTAAAGATTGCAATACGATCCCCTTTTTTTGTAGAAGTTTGACGCGTACACTGTCTCGATCCCTTCATTTATGTCCACCAAATAGATTTTCGATTACTCGTTGATCTTTATCATAAATAAACATCCGAAACCACAAGGTGCATCGGTGATCCTGTCAATCAACTTGACGACATAGAACATCGATTCTTTATATCATCAACATTCAAGCTATTATTTGTTCTTCATAGACAAGTTATTTGCTCAGAATAAATCAAAATCACTTCCGTATTCGTAATGAATGTGTACTTTTCTTTACAGTGTCGGAAATGAATTACAAAATAATACAAAATATCAAAAAATCTTGTGAGAGATTCTACCTAAATTATGTATAGATCATGAATACTTGATTTCTAATAAATGCATTTTTTGACTTTTTTTATTATGCTCTACCATTTATTTATCGTTCTCTTTTCTTGTATCATCCGACGATGGAGTCATTATTACGTCCAATTGAGTAATCGTTCAAAATACTTTTTCGTTTTATTAGATGCAGTACGTAGTACCAGTAAGATAAAAGAATGAAATTTTTAGCTTTTTGTTTCATATTCATTCTATATCACATGTAATGACTCTTCTAAATTACACAAACAATTAGATATATACGTTCACAATCACTATGTCTTGCCTTTTCATTATCCATCTCCCTGATGACATTATATGCACACTCTTTTCATCTCATTCAATTGAGTTGAGTTAAGAAGTGTTTTCTATCCATATAAACATACTGATCTGTTCCACGGTATGTTAATATGTCTAGAAATCATTTATTTATTCCATACATATGAATTATACTTTTTATTGAAACAGAAAGAATAATTTATTATATTGAATAAATACATTGCTTTTCTCACTCTTCGTTACATAAAACAGCCTGTTGCGTGGTCGTTCTTTTTGTTACCCCACACACAGAAATTCTACCGTGTTCGGACACAATAACTATATATCGTGAAGGTCTTTTTTTACAATACATGTCTATTGATATGTATTGTTTCCCTTACCGATGGATATTACTACCCATTTGTGTTCTCGACAAGACTTGAGTTCCTTTGTACGCACGCGTATTTAAAAAAATCTGTTCTTGAAAAATTTCTTTTATTTTTCCATAAAAACAAAGTTCGTGACGATACAATTTATTAGTTGTTTTTTATACGTTCGAGGTTCTTTTTATATGACTGAAGATGTGGATGATTAGAAGGTAATGATTGTTCTCCAATTTGTATAGCATGTCCATAAAATGTACGGGCTTTTGAGTAACTACCTGTATTTTCATATACCAAACCAATGTTGTTGTAGGACATAGCCAAATCAGGATGATTGGGAGGAAGTGATTGTTGTTTAATTTCAAGGGCTTTTTCATAATAAGAAAGTGCTTTTGGATAAGTACCCATGCTGAAATGCGCTACACCAATATTGTTGTAGGAAGCAGCCAAATGAGGATGATTAGGAGGAAGTGATTGTTGTTGAATATCAAGGGCCTTTTCATAAGATGAAAGTGCTTTCGGATAATTACCCATGTTTTTATGCACATTACCAATGTTGTTATAGGAAGCAGCCAAATCAGGATGATTGGGAGGAAGTGATTGTTGTTTGATTTCAAGGGCTTTTTCATAAGATGAAAGTGCTTTCGGATAATTAGCCATGGTTATATG